TTCTTCGCCCCCACGATGCTCTTGTCCTGCCCATGCTTACTCATCTGCTGCTACCGCAATTTCCACTCCTGCAGTCTCCACTCCTGCAGTTTCCACTGTTGGAGTCCCCACTCCTGCAGTTTTCACTGCTGCAGTGTCTACTTTTGTCGTTTCCACTGCTGCAGCTGTCTCTTATACACATCTAGATGTGTATAAGAGACAGGTCGTATGCTTTCGCATGGGCATTCCCCACCAACCCTTGCTAAGGGGTGGACCTGCTACATGCGCTCCCGCCAACGTCGCTATCCTACACATGTGACGCATCTCTCTCAGGCTGCGATGGTCCTTGTATCTGTCTCTTATACACATCTAGATGTGTATAAGAGACAGGGGCATGCTTAGCAAGTAATAGCAGCATAGGCTGCTTGATCCTCGCCGTCCTCGTCATCCTCGTGTTCCTCTTAATAGCAGCATAGGCTGCTTGATCCTCGCCGTCCTTGTCCCTGTCTCTTATACACATCTAGATGTGTATAAGAGACAGCCCCCACCCTCCCCCCCCCCCTCTTTCCTTGCCAGGCATGCTTAGCAAGTAATAGCAACATAGGCTGCTTGATCCTCGCCGTCCTCGTCATCCTCGTGTTTCTCTTCCACTTCCTCATCGTCGCCCTCCCCCTCCTCTTCCTCGTCCTTCTCCCCCTCCATCGCTACCCCCCTCCCCCCCCTTCTCTCTCTCTCTCTCTCTGAATGTATGGAGGGGGACGAAAAAGGAAAAAACGAAAACAGATCACCCTCTCTCTCTCTCTCTCTCATACACACACACACACAATGTATGGAGGGGGAAGACAAAAGAAAAAAATGACAACAGATCACCCTCTCTCTCTCTCTCTCCCCCTTCCCCCCACCCTTCCCTCCCTCCAAGGAATTGTCCTTCCCGTGCGGAGAGAAGATAGCGGGTGGAGCGGGTGGAGGCTGAGCGGAGGTGGGCGGAGGTACAATAGGAGTTGGACGGGGGGTGGGCAGCCAGTCGAGGGGAGGTGGGCAGAGGAGAAGTGGCCGAGGCGGAGAGAAGATGGCGGGAGGAGGCGGAGAGGAGAGTGGGCGAAGGCCGACCGGACGTGGGTGGAGGCAGCGAGCGGAGGCCGAGGGGAGGTGGGCGGAGGTACCGGGCGGGGGCCTTGCGGAGGTGGGCGGAGGTAGCGGGCCGAGGAGAGGCAAGCAGAGGCGGATAGGAGGTCGGGAGGAGATGGCGGGAGGTGGTAGAGACGGAGGAGAAGTGGCGGAGGCAGGGGAGGAAAGAGAGAGAGGAGATGGCGGGGGGGGCGGGGGGGGGGTCGAGACGGCGGGGAGGTGGGCAGAGGTGGGCAGAGGAGGAATGGGAAGGGGGCGGAGACCAAAGGCGGTGGCGCAAGCCGCGGGCTCTCTCTCTCTCTCTCACACACACACACACAGGGGATAGGGAGGCGGAAGTGGAGAGGAGTTGGCGGGAGGAGATGGCGGGAGGAGATGGTGGGAGGAGATGGTGGGAGGAAGCGGACAGGAGGTGACGGAGGCGGAGGAGAAGTGGTGGAAGCGGGGGAGGAAAGGCAGAGAGGAGATGGCAGGGGAGGCAGAGGGGAGGTGGGCGGAGACGGAGTCACCTCGGAGGGGCCTTCAAGCACAGCCTTGCAACACAGCACACACGAAGTCACGGGCCGTTGGACTCTAGCGGGGGCGTGAAGTCACGGGCCGTTTGACACGAGCAGGGCCATAGCGCCGCCCGCCATGCAATAGGCCAATGGTCCGCAAGTGCGGGGCAGTTCTTTTGCGACGGGCCCTCTTTTCAATAGGCGCGACGACCCAGGCCGCCCACGGGCCTACCGGGCCGATGGCTCAGATCCTCCCGCGATCTTAAGACTTTAATATTGTGCGACCATCCAGGCCGTCTGCCCTGCCGGACAACCTGGATCGTCGCGCCATCTTAAAGTCTTAAAGCCTTAAGATTGTGTGAAAATCCGGACCATCAGGCCGGTAGGACCGCGGGTGGCCCAGATCGGCCAATTCTCACGCTAGCAATTCTATGAATGTAGGGATCATTGTCAGTTCTCTTCTATGTTACCAGGGACAATGTCCGGGATCCCCCTGACTGTCCGAGTTGTAAGACCCGACAACTGGGCCAAATGTCCGCCCGGCCCCTTCTGTTAGAACGTACTGAACATGACCTATATAAATATATATATATCGTCACAAATAGAACTGCCCGGTAAACCGTAGGCAGAGAGAGAGAAGAGGACAACAAACGCGGGGCTGTGACAAACTGTTTCGTCGGAGTTTCACCGACTCATCAGGAGGCTATATATATATACTGGTTTCGTGATAAACTCAGCTACTTCACTTTTTTTTATGACAGATGTTGTTACGGATGTTTTGCTTGGCTCTTCATCCTTTCAGGTAAGCTTGGTATCGTAACTATGTACATTCCTGTTGTACATCCCTTACATGTACATTCCTTGTGTACAATCTGTTTTGTCTATTCGTTGTGAACAACTGTTATGTATTCTTTTTCCTTTCGTGCACGATGTGATTGTGATGGTGGTCATTTCAAGGGCACGGGTTGTACCCCTTTCCCGTGCAGTGGGTATAGTTACGGCCCGCCTAAGGTTGGCCACACCCGGGCGGCTGCCACCATGCCCACTCACCTCTTGTTCCATGTTCTTTGAGATAATCCTTCTACTCTGTTTTATGCATGTGTCAACTGCTTGGTGACATCTTTTTATGTAGGCATTGTTGGTCTGTCAGTGCAAGGCTCCTGGCATTGCTGGTGTGAGCACATTCATTGGGAGATGCAATTTTGCATTCAAACCGAGCGCCCTCTTTGACAATGCTGCTGGCAGTGAACAGCAGACAAAAAGGACGACGGCAGGATCCCGGCTTGAGCCGTCGGGCTTGAAGTCCTTTCACCTTGTGCCCTCACCTCCATTTCTTTGCATTGGAAAATTGAAAAACCGAAAAATAATTGTTCCATAACCATCAACAATGAATCTACAACTAAGGAATAATCAAGGGGCTACCCCGATACTTCCCACCCCTCTCAGGAGATTTCCTGCCGCTGGCATGGCAGGTGTTATACCAAGCTTTCCTCTTGGACACTATGTTCCGTTTGCTCATGCTCACATGTCAAACCGCCAGGCATCTGTCACTCATCATGTAGATTGGCGTGCACACCTGGAGTGGAATACTAACTTGTATTCTGCAAGAGGTTGATGCAAGAAACAACTCTGTCTCCTTAATAGTGTTGTGCAGGCAGAGCGATTTGAGTTGCAGTTGCGCGGTGGTGATCAACCACCCCTTGAACTCGGTATGGACCCCCTCACTGTTCGAGGAGTGATTTATGCAATTGTTCATTTACCTTCTGGTCGTTTTTATGTTGGACAGACGATGCGTTCTGCACATCAATAGTTGCAAGAGCATTGGCATACACGGCGCTCTTCTGCTGGCTTTCGCCATCGCCATGTCTACCGTGCAATGTGTGGGCAACCAGCATTCAAGTTTGCTGCTTGACCCTTGGCATGCATCGATCCTACCCTTTATCATACGTCTGAAGGTCTTGTTGATCATGCCCTCTTTGGGCGGGCTGCTGCACCCCGCGAGGGTTTCTGCGTTCGTAAACTTCGAACTCTTCACCCGATTGGTTTCAATGCAGTCCTTCCAATGGCTAGACTGCCAGCTCCACGGCGACACTTCCGCCCTCATCCTTGGATACAAATGGGCCCTCGTCCTTTTGCTCCTCAGCCCCCTCTACCTCCTCATGCCTCAGCTCCTTCTGTTTCCCTCCCTGCCACATCTATTGCTGCTCCATCTGTTCCGGCACCGGTTGATCCTTCTCACATAGCACCCCTTTTACCAACACCTGTTGACTCTTATGCTGCACCCCTTTTATCTACACCCGCTCACTGTTTGCCTCCCTTGCCAACAACTCCTCACTGTTTACCTCTCTTGCCGACACCTTTGGTTAGGTCCTTTGCTGTTGATCTTCGTCCAGGTCCCCAACTTATGATTCGTACCTCACTGCATCGTCTTCTCACTGAAGTTGCTTCAGATAATTGGTGTCGTGTCAAGGCTGATATTGAGCAAGCAGCACCAGCATGGCGGGTACGACTTTTGCAATGGCTTTACAATAATGTCTCCACATTCGAGAACTCGAATGCCTTATCCGAAAATCGCAGCATACCCGCCAACGTTACACAACAACCTCGTGACCCATTTACTGACCAAATCAAGGTCGTACAAGCGCATGAGGTAGCTCGTGCTACAAACCTGCGCCATGCGTTACAATTGTTGGATGTAGTTGCATTGCACCTCGATCCTCAAGCAGCCACACATGTTCGAGTATGTGACAAACTGATGCCACCCACGCGTGTCCAGTTTTGTAACT